ATGTGTGCTCCTTTTGTAATCCCAGACTTGCCGCTGGATGACATTCTCGCCCGCAAAATTTACAACTGCCTCAAACTGCAAGCAAACAAAAAGTCTTTCAGGAGCCCAGAGGAGGAGCAGCTTCAGGCTGGTGAGTTTTGCTATTTTCTGGTTCTGTTTTTGTTATCTGAAAGATTTATGGGTTTTTTTTCATTTTTTTTTTCATACAAACATTTTTTTCTGGTGTAACATTCTTCCATTATTTGTTTTTGAATATGGTAGCTTCTGCCCCATCCATGAAGGAAAATTTGGCTGTCCCTGACTATATCAGATGAATCTGATTGACATAGTGCTGTGGGTATTTGAGTTAAATTCTTTCAAGTGCCCCCTCTCCAAACTGTTTCAAATAAATGAAGATGTAGTATTTTGCATGTGCCATACGTTTGAATATATATGTGAGGCAGCGTGGTGAAATCAGGCGCTCGTCAAGATGGCGAAATCGGAGAAACAGGCATTTTTCCGCCAGTTAGAAATTTTTTTTCAAATTTTTATTTTTTGACTTAACCTCTTATGTGTCCATATAAAAACACATTCTCATGTGAATTTTACTGAAAACCATTGATGAAAGGCACAAAATGTGTCATTTTTCTGTTTTCAAAGACTCTTTAGCTACTAGAGTTACCAAACTTTGTCGGCCATTTTCTCGCTAATTTTGAAACTGAAAAATGGCGACCTCAATTCCTTCACTCGCAAATACCTTGAGTTCTATTCTAGATAAATTGATGCTTATTTCATTGGAATCTAGGCAAATAAATCAGCTTTCAGACGATACCAATAACTCCATATGCCCATAAATTGACGAGCACCTTATTGCACCGCGTCGTGACACATATAGTCTCTACAAATAAAGCAGTGATCTTATAATCTGTCATGTAATTATATTTGGTAATTCCTCTCTCAGATGAGGAATACGCAAGGTTTTTGCAAGAACAAGAAGACCAGAAGAATGCCGAGCAAGGCCAAGTGGCCACTGGACTTTCAATACCGCAAGGCTCGACTCCAGGTTGGACCAATCAGAGGCCGACTTGGATGAGTAGTGGACTCGAAGCACAAACCAAGTGGGAGAGTGAACATAGGCAGTATCATCAGACCCATTCACAGCATGTAGGCTCTGTGTCGTCCGTTCTTCATGAACTACGAGGCACTAAAGGGAAGAAACTCAAGCCAACAAAGTTCCGTCCAGCGGTTCCTACAACTGACTTGAACTCGGGTAGGTCGCCTCTAGCTAATTTTGACTATGGTATTGTTTGGTCCAGTTGTATTTAAGTTTTGACGTTGTCACTTTGCCTCTTTCGACATTTTGCCAAAATATTTTTACTGAGTTTTATATTTTACTGGATACAGATGTTTATTTTTTGCAGGCAGTTGGTTGGTGGGTGCTCTGGTGTGGTTTTCTCCTTTTTTCCTATCAAATGTCTGTCTTCCTGATCTCTTTTTCTTTTTTGTGTTGGTTACTCTCCTGTAACAGGAATAGGAAAGGGGAAATTAGTGGCAAAATATTTGGAACAGGATTTCATGAATCATCTCTGAAAAAAAGAAGCACTGGGGAACTGTGCACGCAGCACTTTTGTGCACCTGGAAATGGATCTCGTCTTGATCATATGAATGGTGGTGTTGATACCTTTTTGTCTTGGAAGATCAGCGTTTCAGATAGTCTCTAATACTTACTTTTTTTTTCCCCCCTCAATGCAGTTTGGCACAACTCAAGCAAGGGAAAACAACCTGAGAACTTCCAGTCCATTATGAGGGAGGAAAGAGAGAGAGAAGATCTCCTACAAGAAAAGGTAAGAGAGACAAGTGTGCTATTTTTTCTCACTTTTGTACTTTTAAAAACCATTCTTGGAGCCGATTTGATCTTTTTGTTCCACAGTAGATTATCTTTGGCGAGTTGTTATAATGTAGATTCTACTAAGCCGAGGAAACAAAAACATTTTTACAGAAGAGAGAAAAACTGTTTCATTCTTTTAATAATTGTCCCTAATTTTTGTATTTTTCCTCACTCTTTTCAAAATTTAGCTTTTGAAATTCTAGAAAATATTTCTTCAGCACATGCAACTAATCCACCAAGATTAAGGAATAAAAAACGTTCAAAATTTTTGGGCTTAGTACATTTAAAGACTGGCAGACAATATCTGTGTACTCTAAATCTTACTATATTTATGTATGCCCAACAGCTAGTGTGAAAGTTGATACCAATATGCAGTACTTTCTTTAACCCTTTGAGCCCTTGCCACCGTTACACCGATAGCATGTAAAATTGCCTGCATGATTGGCCACAGGTATACGGGTGAGCGAGTCCCTATCCCCAAACCGGCCCATCTGGGACTAAATGCGTACGGAAAACAGTGTTTACTACGTAGAGTGTTATTGATTATGTTGAAGTTCTTCCTGAATTAGATGCTGGTAATGATGTGGACTACATTGAGCATTGCATAAGTGGATATGCGCTATATAAATGCAATCCATTTATTATTACCCAGTGTGGGGTATGGAATGTGATTCTGAGGATCATGTGAATGATAGTAGTAACATATTGCTCAGGAGCTCTGCCAGTTAAAGGGTTAATCATGCCGAGTGACCTCAAGTGTTTAACACAGAAACCTGTATGTTGTGTCATCAGATGAGCAAGCTACATGCATCAGAAGGTGGCATTGACCTTGCAACTAAGCTGAAGAGAAGACAACTGGGTGACATGTACCCAATGTTGAGTTCGGAGCTGCTGGATGAAATCTTCTTCCAAAACAAGTAAGTCTGGTCCTAGTAAATATAAGAAAAAATAACAACAAAACTCCCCTTAAAACCCCCCCTGTGTGGATTCGTATTTGGAAATTTAAAATGCACTTATTGGTACCTAATTTGCTATTATTAATTTACTGCTAGGCTTACAGGTGTTTGATAAACACAGGTCTAATCTCGCTGAATAGAACTTTGTGTTTTATTACTGTGAATTTTTCTCTGGATGAGGCTGAAGATGGCTTGTAAATAAACCTGATAATTGAAGATAGTGTGCAAATGAACAGAGACCTGAAAATTAAGGACAGCTTGAAAATATTATGCAGATAGCACATGAATAAATAAAGAGAGAAAAATCATCAGAAATAGGCAACCCTAGGTCAGCCATGAGTTCAGCTAATAGAACATTTTTTCTTCTGTGTTAATAGAGCATTCTTTCTTCTGTTTTTATAGAACATTCTTCCTTCTATGTTAATATGTGTTAATAGAACATTCTTTCTTCTGTGTTAATAGTACATTCTTTCTTATATGTTAATAGAACATTCTTTCTTCTGTTTTAATAGAACATTCTTCCTTCTATGTTAATATGTGTTAATAGAACATTCTTTCTTCTATGTTAATAGTACATTCTTTCTTATATGTTAATAGAACATTCTTTCTTCTGTTTTAATAGACTATTCTTTCTTCTGTTTTAATAGAATATTCTTTCTTCTATGTTAATATGTGTTAGTAGAACATTCTTTCTTCTGTGTTGATATGTGTTTACTAGAACATTCTTTCTTTTGCATTCTAGCTGCTCTAAAGAAGACTCCATCGAGGCGCTGACACTCACCTACGGCATGACTCCAGTCCTTGTGCCCCGGGAACAGGAAGAGAGCCACGTGTACTCACAAATGAGGAATGAGGTCAGTGGTTTGTTTGATGAAGCCTAAAGGAGGAGTTGCGTTTCTCATAGGCTTCCAGAGGATATTCGGCTGTGTTGCTAAAGTCACTGTTAAAAAAAATTGGATCAGATCCTTGTTTTCTTAAATGTAGATGTTTTTTTATTTATGCCCCCATTAACATAACTCAGATAATTTAGAATTTTCCCATGCTAACCTGCATCTCCTGCTAACGACGGCGAAGCGTCTAAATGCTTCACCACAGGTGCTGGTGATAGAATCCTACAGAAATTACATTGTATAGCTTCCTCCCTAAAATTAAAATCCCCCGTTTGGTCGCGTCCTCCCAAATCCCCAGAAATATCCGACCAGAAAGATTCCCTTATTGACTTACTTAGCTTTGAATACGAAAATGAAGTATTGTCTTTTTAGTCATGTCATGTCCATCATGAATGGGACCAATATTACTGTTGAGTCGGATGCTTATTATCTTAAAGCCTTGGAACCTCTGCCAAGTGCAGAGTGACTTTCTTTGTGGAAATTACTATCAAGCTCTAAAAAGTTTTAAAATTTGTCTTTATGTTGAGCTGTAACAGTGGTGATGCAGAAATTAACAATCTCAAAATCTTTTCAATTAAGAAATAGGTCATTAGTCTTGTGTTTCCTTTGAGAATTTTGTTTGTGTTGCACAGTGCCGGCTTCTGAACTTAAAAGTAGCAATTCTTCATCTCACTTGATAGCGTAGTGTGCGCACCATTTATGTGCAAAGAAACAAGAAGTCCTGACTTTGAATAATTACCCGGTACCGTATCTTCCCTGCCTCCCATCTTTTGCGTGTGAGTTACTTTATTTATTAATTTTTTAATCTGTTCTTACATGTGGAGCTGGAAGGTGCCTTTGGCAGGTTCTACTTCTTTTCTTTCCTTATGTTGCTTCTGTCTGTCTAGGTTCTCCCCCCCCCCCTCCCCATGCATTAAATAACCACTGTCACATTGATGTGTTTCTCTTTACTCAAAAAAAAAGAAATGTCTTGTGTGTTCCAGCAGGTTGTGCCAGAGGAGGAAGAATGGGAACCCCGTTTCTCCGCTGTGGAGCCAACCGCTTCTCTCTCCTATGACGATTTGCGCTCCGAGGCTCACCTGTACCGCCGGCTGGCCAAGGAATGCCAGGACAAAGCACTTCGCTACCAGTCGGACGGCATGGCGGCTGCAGCTTTCTTCTACAGACAACAGGTCAGTGTTGTTATGTGTACTGACTCCTAGAATCAGGAGGGGGGGGGGGGGGGGGACAGAAGAGTTAAAAGTAGAAATAAATAGTGATGATAGAAAAGTTTTAAACTCAACAAAAAGTATAAGGAAAAGTGTTGAAAGAAAAACTCAACTTAACAAGAGAGGGAAGGAATGGTGTTGATCGAAAAATTCAACTTAACAAGAGAGGGAAGGAATGGTGTTGATAGAAAAATTCAACTTAACAAGAGAGGGAAGGAATGGTGTTGATAGAAAAATTCAACTTAACAAGAGAGGGAAGGAATGGTGTTGATAGAAAAATTCAACTCAAATAACAGTTGAAGAAATAGTGCTGATAGAAAAGGTAAACTTTGCCAACAAGAAGTGGAAGAGAGTATGGATAGAGATAGAAAAGTTAAACTTCAAAGAACGTTGCTCTAGTTCAAGTGTTTATTGTAATTACAGTGACTGTTGAGTGTTCTTTTGTTGTATGATGATAAAAATTAATGGGACTCTCTCACCGACATTTTGTTTCTCTAGCCGTCTTCTGAAATAGGGCAGGGTTGGGTTTTTTTGTCTGCTTTTTTATCTCCAGAGGACTGTGCGGGTGGTTGGCGGGTGCTCTGGTGTGGTTTGCTCCTTCTTTCCTATCAAACCTCTATTGTCCTTATCTCTCCTCCTTTTTTGTGTTTGTTATTCTCTTGTAACACCTCTAATCTTCGATATGTATATGACCTTATAGTAATACAAGTGCTGGAAAACTCTTATTAAAAACTGAAAGGACTGTGCGGTGTAAAGATGTTTGTTGTATTGTGTTGTCTCTCTCTCTGGCTGGTGATTTTTGGGAGGCTGCTTTAGTTGTCTGTGCTGTGTCCCTTGAGATGGAATATATTAATCATAACAGTGAAGATGCACACTTCTCTCTGTTTTGGCATGTTCTACATAGATGTTTTCTTGTATTTTACAAGTCAGTATGAATATGTCTACAGTGCCTGCCACTGCAAACACTTTCCAGTTTCAGGCTGGTAGGAATTTGCATGTATATACATGTATGTTTTTGATTTGTTGTTTTTTTATGTATATATTTATATTGTATTATTTTTACTTTTTTACTCAGGTTAAGAAGTACAAGGATGAAGAGATGGCAGCCAACCAGAGAGCTGCTCATGTCCTCTTTGAGAAAAGGTTGGTGATTTGGTGCATATTGTTGTTCATTGATATGCTTATTAAAGATTTGACACGCTATTGTAAATTGTGGAATTATAGTTTATAAATCATTTAACATGTATGTACAGAGCCTTCAAGTGTATAAGGTATTGTGGCATGTAAATATTTGTTTGTCAGGTGTTTGGTAGACATTTGTATTTATCTGCATTGTTTTTTTTTATATTACTCTAGTGATGGGAACAAATATTTTTAGAAGTAGTGATATAAAATTTTGTGAAAGAAAAAAAATTGCATTCACGATTTCATTTTTGAAATGTTCTTCAGTTTCAAAACATTTTGTATAACACGATAAGCTTGTTCTCTTCAGAAAATATTTTGACTGAGAATTATGTAGTTCAATGTTTAATATAATGCCTTTACTGTTACTAGTTCCTCCTGATATACAGTATCAGTTTGTAACAATTGTTTTTTTGGCCTCTCAGACATGAGAGATTGGACCGTGAAAATCTCCTCGACCTTCACTTTTACCATCTAGAAGAAGCAAAGATGGCGGTGGACAGAGCTATTATTATGAAGGAGGAAGGTAAGTTATGCTTGTCTCTGGTGTGTGTGTGTGGAGGGAGGGGGGGGGTGAGGTGGAAGAGGAAGAGAAGGGATATTTTATTTGTTTTTGGGAATCCTTATAAAAAAAAGAAGAGAGAAATAAAGACATGTTTCTCTCTCACGCATACCTCGTGAAGACTTGAGGTATAGAGAAAATAAAGGGAATGCTTTGTTTTGTATAATATTAAGGGCTTACAAGACAAAAAAAGCTCTTTTCGGAGGTGGGGTTTTGGGGATCTGGGTTTATTTTCTTGTGCTAAACCTCTTCCTGCCCTGTAGTTTACAGATCGGCATTGGACAGATGAGAAAGTAAGTACGGTGAAAGGATATCAGCCGTGGGCTTCAGAGGCTCTCTGACACTTGGGCATAATGCCTCTTGTTGATAGAACATCTAACTGGAGCTTATGTAGGCTTTTTGTGGGTGGTTGGCGGGTGTTCTGGTGTGGTTTTGCTCCTTTTTCCCAATCAAGCATCTAGCCTCCTTATTTCTCCTCCCTCTCTTTGTGTTTTCCTCCTCTCTTTTGTGTTTTGTACTCTCTTGGAACACCTTTAATCTTCAGCACTTATATGACTTTATTGTTTTGCAAGTGCTGTACAACATTTACTAAGACAAAAGAAATAAGTTCTGTATTTTTATTTTACTCCCTCATCCCCACAAGGGTACAAACAGGTCTTTTCAATATCAAAATTTTAATACTGTGCATCGTTGTATTGTATTATTGAACATGAATGTAATAATAATAATAACAATGGATTGCATTTATATAGCGTATATCCACTTATGCAATGCTCTATGCGCTTAACATGAAACACATTATGGAATTACCAATCAATTTTATGGGCACATAGTATTATATACGTGTGCACACACATACTCACACACGCACGCGCCCACACACACATATGTACATACGCACATACAATTCAAACTCACGACGATCTACAGCTTGGATGGATTCTATCTAATTGAAATACGATGAAAATAGAAATGCTTTTAGTTTTTTCTGTAAAATTTCTAATCTTCTGCTTCTCTGATAGTTTTTGGAAGCTATTCTAATATGAGTGCTAGATGCTGAACCTTTGGACATTGTTGTCTTCTTGATATATCTACCCACAATCTCCCTTTTATGGATAAATAAAGCTTATTTTAGTTTCATCTTAATCTTATTGTGACTTTGTAAAGTGGGCCTCCTTCTTCTCTGAATTTAGTGGGTGGTTGGAGGGTGCCACTGGTAGGTCCTACTTCTTTACTTTCCCTCTGTTGTTTCTGTCTGTCTGTCTTTCTTTTTCCCAGCACTAGATGACCATTATTGTGTTGATGTACTTCTCCTTACTCAAACAAACGAACAAACTCTGAATTTTAAGTTTATTCGTTGGGATTTTTTTTCCAGAGAGTGTGGCAAATCCAGGCAAAAAGAATTCTTCCCTGTATGTGGTGACGGGTCGAGGCAGGAATAGTAAAGGGGGCGTGGCTAAGCTGAAGCCAGGGATCATAGGTCATCTGCGAGTCCGAGGCTTGAGGTAAGATTTTGTCTGTTAT